CCCCAAAACCCCAAAACCCCAAAACCCCGCAATGCATAAATATTTAAAAAAATAAAAAAAACGATTAAAATGCATAAAATATTAAATAGCTGATAGATAATAATTATAGATTATTATTATTCAATTTTTAGGCTGTTTCTTCTTGTCTTTTGACTATTTCTTTTTCTGCTGCTCGACTTCTTTCAATTAAGAAAAGTCTTGGCTTTGATTGCCAGATCTATTGTAATATTTGTTGTAGAATTTAATAAGCTTAAACAGCATCTTATCCATATTCTTTTAGAACCCTCTTTATCCATATGTTTGTTCCTCATCTACATCAAGATTTTTAAATAGATGCTCAAATTATATAGGCACGCTTTTATCCTCTTAAAATATATTCTTAACGTTTGTTCTATCCCAAGTCATAGTAAAAAGTTTCGTTTTTAATTCCTGTTAATAGATGTTAATTTCAAATGTAATGATACCTCAACAAGCACAGATTTTTTCACTATCTTATGAAAAACTTCAAACTCTATTTCAACTTTTCTCTAAGATGATTTAGCTTTGATATTAGTTTTGAAGTAAAATTCCATAATCCTATAAAAGATAATTTTAAACATAAAAAATCTTACTTAAATATTTCCTAGCCTACGATAGATTAAGTTGGGATATTCTATTACAAATGTAATAGATTCAAAATATTTAAATGATTATCTCTGTCCATATCATAAAGTCTAAAAGCAACTTTGTTGTGAGAACAGCTCACATCATCTCTTAGAAGTGGCAGGAATTCTTAAATTAATCTTGATAGTCCTATTTTACTCTTATCATACCCTTTACTTAGGAGTAAATACATTAACTTGGCGAAATAAGGACTTTCATAGCCAAATACTAACTAGAAGTTCTAAGCAATTATCTGTTCAGTTAAAAATGAATTTGCCTCCTTGAAATGAAGCTACACTTTCTTATTGTTTATTTCAAGATTAAGGAATCTTTTGAAAAGATTCAAGAAGATGTTGTATTCATCCATGCTAACTTAATTCTTAATATTCTGAAGTTAGTTGTCTGTAAAGACTTCATTACCTTCTTGAGCGAAATCTCTAATAGTTGGGGAGTATTCTTCATCCTCTTCCCAAATCTAGTTGCCCTTAAAAAGATTTTTCTTTGTTAAATAGTATACTAAGTCATTAATGAGCTATGGCTGTCCACATTTAAAAGTAATATTGTTACAGAATTCATGCAAGTTTAGGGATTCAAGTGAATCCTCAAAATTTGAAGACTAATTTTATATAGAAATTTGGCCTTAGTTTTCATTATTGTGACCGCTAGACCTATTAGATTAAGGTTCATTCTTTTTCTTTCCTCCTTCGAAATTTTTCTCAGAGTTTTTCTGTCCTTCAGGATGATCTTCTTAACCACTTCCTGAGTCTTGACTCTCCTGATACTTTAATTTCAATTATGAAAGTTCCCTCTTTTTAGCTCCCATTGTGTTAGACTTTGTTACTTTTCCTAATTTACTGTTCTTCCTGCTTTAGGAATTAATATCTGGCATTCTAGATGTATTGATAAGACTTGATGCTTGAGTTTAATCAACAGAGTTAGATGGTATCATTGATTATTCAAGTTGCTATAGTTTAAACTCTATTTGCTTCATTTTATTCTTATCTTAGTCATCCTTACCTCTTACTCTTCTTTTTAGATTAATATTTTTGGTAATTCTGACAAAATCATTAGAAAATACTTCAAGAAAAAGATCAGTATCTAATGCGGAAGATGCCATGCTTTCTTCATCTGTCATTGGCTTAGACTACTAATTCTAAGAGGACCACATCATTATCTGAAAGAGATCACTTTCTGACAATCTTTTGTCATTATTAGCATCAAGAATCTTGAAAACAAATCCTTTAAGGGCCTATATATATAAAAATTATAGTATTATTTCTTACAGATTCAGTTTGGTTGACAAAGTTTTCAATGTAGTCACAATAAAAATTGAAATCTAAATTGAAGCTGAAGTTGTTAAAATGTGGCATTAGTCCTTTCATGATTCTCTCAGCTATAATTTCAGGATATCTTTTTAGGAGATGCTCCTTCATCTTAGTCTTGTTAAGTCTCTTATCTGTGCCCATTGTAAAGAAATGATTCATTAGGTTCTAGTCTTTTCTATCAAGAGTAAATTATTTTTATTTGGAATTCTAAGCTACAAATTTAGGCTAGACTTTATTCTTGTTTTTATTTACCCCTGACCTATAATGTAAATTATGAAACTGATATCTTACTCCTCGTCACCAGATGTGTCTTCTGAATTGCTCATATTTAGTAGATTAGTGACGTTTCCTATATTTGCCTTAGTAGGCTTTTTCTTGGCCGAATCACCATTGATAGTTACAGATACTTAGGATGAAGTATCTTTATTTTGTTACATCAAAGAGATTGTGGCTGTTTTCTTTTGCTTCCTCATTATTGGTGAGTAAGTTGTCATATTCGACTTTTTTAATGGAAGAATATCAGGTAAATTAGTTGGCACTACTAGGCTGTTTTTATCAACATACTATATATCTAAACTTGGCATCTGATGACTTATTTTAGGTATCAGAATTGCATTAGGATCGTCCTTTTTTACATGATAAGGAGTAAACATTTCAACCTTGAAATTATTGAGAGTGCTTGTCATTTTTTGCTCAGTATTGAACAAAAATTCACTTTTTTATGTAAATTTATTTCTCAACTGAGATCCCTACACATGATTACTAGCACTGCTCATCTCATTGCTGAGCTAAGAGACATTCATAGTTAGTCCAGCTCTTTAGTCCTAAGTCTGATATTTAAATCGAGTATTTTTTTAGTCTTCGTTTTCCTCATTTTTTAGTTTATCTAGGTAGCCCTAAACCTTCTCATCATGGTTTTATCTGAGTAAGTCTCTTAAAGGTATATATTTAGACGTATCCTTGATAAGTGAGTTGTTTTATGTCATAGTCTCTAAGGATGATCTATTTAATCGTGGAGATTCCATAGGTCTTATATATTTATTGTAGTATCGATGATGAACCATTGGCAATGGATCGTCCTTAAATAACCCCTTCCTTATAGCTTCCTCTTTGAACATATCAAAAGCTTCTTTGTTATTCTATATAGTTTGAATGAACTTATTGACGTTTTTGGTGTCCAATTTTCTCTGTTAGGATTTAGAAATAATTCTTTTAATGTTGACACCAGAGCTCCCAGACTGTTACTGAAGAGAACTGAGAAGCTGGTTGGCCAGCATGTTTTAGATTGACATTTTATTTTAGTTACTTTCTATAATTTTAATAAAAATCAAAACACGAACTCCTATTGTGTCTTTTTTACTTCATAATCTTATCAGATCCCATGGGGTTTTGGGGTTTTGGGGTTTTGGGGTTTTGGGG